GGCCTGCCATGTGGCCCCCAAGTTAGAAAATTTGTCCATGCCTGAGCTGAGTCATTGTAATAAATCAGTAAAAAAACCCATCCCTGGCTATGAAATTACAACAACAGCAACAACAACAACAACACAACAACAACAACAATGTAAACAATTATTCCTGGCTATGAAATTACAACAACAGCAACAACAACAACAACACAACAACAACAACAACAACAATGTAAACAATTATTATTTTGCTATGGTTCTATTAAACCCAAACCTTTTATGTGTAGTAGGTACTGAACCCTTCCTAACAGTAGGATGAGCCCTACTTCTATCATCTAGAACCCAGACACCAATGTTTTGTAGCTGCCCATTAGCCGGACTCAGCTGTGGAGGGTGCAAGCTGCTATGAAAAGCTATGGCTAAGGGAACTGGTATGGCTAGATTGTCTGTAGGATTTCTTCCCTTAGCCTGCGTATTTCCATTTTTAAAAAGAGCATCGTCCATGAATGTTCAGTAGTCTCTCCTCACAAATATTTGTCTCCGCAAACAGTGGGACTGCAGAGATTCTTACGGAATAGGGAGGTGAAAGAGTACCAAAGGATACATTAAAAATAATAATGCCAGCAAGAGGATGCAATGCCTGCTCAGGAGACCAAAGTCAATACTTGAGTCAATCAAGATAAATAGAAATGTAACCACCCCAACCCCTGCTTGGTCTTTTTAGACATCACTTTTATTCATATATCCCTGATTGAGAAGAACTGTTTCACTGGGAAGCTTTTATTTAGATACTTTTTCAAAAGGATTTCCATTGTGACTGTCAGGATAACATCAACAGCATTGATCCCAACATGAGAAAGGCAAAAAGAGCAGATGACAGATAAATTGTGGTTGCGACTCAATACCACTTTTTAAACTTTGGGACCTAAGGTGATCTAGCAAGTGGTGAACCTCAAAGCGTAGAGAAATTGGGCTTAAATTTGGTGTCAGTCTTTATTTGTCAAGAGACATGGCAATAGTCCATTGATATGTGTAGGAAGAAGTTTTTGGATACTATGATTAAAGGCTATCAATGTTTTGGGGCTGGGAATGACACAATGCGTGTAGCACCACAGTTTGACAGTGAACAAGCAACCAAATAGCATTGATCATATACTGCGTAGATGAGGAAACTCAATGCAGACCACCTCTTCTGTGGTCCCATGTATGTCCAGAGGAGGGCAACCATGATGTAAAAGGTCTTGATATGAAATCCTAAGAGGAATGGTCAGTTTATCATGGATAAGAAAGGTGATATGATATTCATCTTGAAATATCCCAAAGAATATTATGCAGATGAGGGATCAAGTTTGTTTTATGTGCTTCAGAGATTAGGACACAAACTAGCAGGTCCAAATTACAGGGAAAAGATTGCACCTAAACATCATGAAAGACATGGAACTCCCGGTGGTGCAGCAGGTTAAACTGCTGAGCTGCTGAACTTGCTAACCAAAAAGTCAAAGGTTCAAATCCAAGGAATAGGGGTGAGCTGCAGTTAGCTCCAGCTTCTGCCAATCTAGCAGTTCAAAAATGTACAAATGTAAGTAGATCAATAGGTAGCATTCTGGCAGGAAGATAATGGAGCTCCATGCAGTCATGCCGGCCACATGACCTTGGAGGTATCTATGGACAACACTGGCTCTTCAGCTTAGAAATGGAGATGAGCACCACCCCCCCCCCCCCCCCCCCCCCCCAGAGTCAGACACAACTAGACTTAATGTCCGGGGAAACCTTAACCTTTACTTATCATGAAAGACTTCCCAATTGTAACTGAATTGAATTTCAATGCAAAAATTGAATGTGATTTTCCTGCTTCTTGGCAAGGGGTTGGACTGGATGTCCCACAAAGTTTCTTCTAACTCTATGATTCTATGGAAGGTTGTTTGGCAGTGGAACAGATTACTCCAGAAAGTAGTAGACTCTCATTCTTTGGGGGTTCTAGAAACAGAGGTTGAGTGGTCATCTGTTAAGAACAATTTAGCTGTGAATTTCTGTGTGGCAGAGCACTGGGCAAAATGACCCTTGCAGTCCATTCCAGTTCCACAATTCTATGAATCCTGCTATGAGATCAATCACTGCCAATCATTATTTTGGCGAGCGGCAGTGTTGGCACTCCTCGGCTCTGGAAATAAACACTTTTGATATATTCCTGCTTCAGGGTTCAGTGATTTTTTTCCCCCAATATTTAACCCAAGGTCACCCCTGCTTTCATTACAGAATAATTGCAGTGCCCTAAATTGTATTATTGCTACAACCCACTGTTGATGGTTTGCATGAATAACTTTATCTGCAGTGACTAGTGAGAGCTAGGTTTGCAACCACCTGGAGGTGCATGGTGCAGTAGTCTTGGCACAGCAGTTAAAGCATATACTCCTATGAGAGTTTGTGGTCATTGCATCGATGGACAAGATGTTCCTGCTGATCTAGATTTCCATGTGTTGATAAAATCTCAAAGAGTTGTGCACTACCTCCATGGTGTCATGGGTTATGCTCTCTACAAAATATGTGGTGCAAAGTTATGCAACGGCACAAAAAAAATGGAAAGAGCAGAGCGTCTCAATGAAGAATCCAAAATCCAATCCAAACACATGAGGTGGGGTAGGAAGTTATGTCTGAAAGATCCTTGTTATCTAACATCAAATAATAACCACACTTTCTGATTTTGAAGATGTGGATTTGGAATCTTGACTTCACCTGTAAGCATGCGGCACACAAGTAGAAAGTCTCCCTTCCCCATTCTTTACCCACCAGTCTGCATGCGCAACAGGATGATTTTGTTGTCTTCTCTAAATCCTCAGCATACGTTTTGATTATTGGGGGTTATGGTTAGTCTTTCTTTAAGGATGGAAAGCTGGGGATATCTGCATCTCAGTTGTGACATGCAAATATCCTCAGATTTCCATCCTTAAAGAAAGACCAATCAGAATCCCTAATAATCAAGTGTCAGGCCATCAAATGCTAATCAAGGTGGGCAATTGAAACATTCACACCTAGCTCCAAAAGACAAGAGTTCTTTCTTCCACCCTGGAGTTTCCACAGATACATAAACCCCATTTACCTAATTTCCAACAGACCTCACAACCTCTGAGGATGCCTACCATAGATGCAGGCAAGACGTCAGGAGAGAATGCTTCTAGAACATGGCCATACGGTCCAAGAAACCTACAACAACCCACTTGTGAAGCAGTTGGCATGGATTACAAAGAGCTGGGACTGATAGATGCAACAACAGGACAGCGAAAGAGCAGAAAGAACCACAAAACCTTACTGAAACCCAGCAGCCCTACCAGTCTAATGTCCCATCTATGTCATCTCTTCCCACCTCAAGAGAAAAGACATGAGAATTTCAGCTGATATCCCCAATGAGATGTGACTGACTACTCCTCCCAGCACAAAAAAACACATGAGCTAAACAACTAACCTACAGTCCATTCTCCCTCTGCTTCCTGCTCGCCTAACTTTGTCCCTTTCCTTGCAGGAGCTCTCCTGCTCCTGGCAGCTTCCCTTTGTATTGGGTGCTATCCATGGTGCTGAACAGCCTGAATGGGGTGAGCCCAGGCAAAGAACGGAGGCTGGCATCTCCAAGGGGTGGGAAGGGGGCGTTTGGGAATCCATGACAACTAGTGTGCGCCTGTGTGTGTTGGAGAGCAATCTGAGCTTGTGCTTGGCATGGCTGTTTGCCTTATTATACAGCCTTATAGACCCTTTAAATGCCCATATACTCCTACATACAGGTTACAGGGTTATAGGTCCTCTGTACGTCCATACACTAAATACATTATAGATCCTTCTGTTTACCCATTTACTCATTATTCTATATGCCCACATAAAGGTTTAGGGACCAGGTTGCTGTGAGTTTCCCGGGCTGTATGGCCATGTCCCTGTAGCATTCTCTCCTGACATTTTGCCCACATCTATGGCAGGCATTCTCAGAGGTTGAGGGATCTGTTGGAAACTAGGCAAATTAGGTTTATATATCTGTGAAATGCCCAGGATGGGAGAAAGAACTCTTGTCCGCTTGAGGCAGGTTTTTTTTTTGTCCTGTCAGGAGCGACCTGAGAAACTGCAAGTCGCTTCTGGTTTGAGAGAATTGGCCGTCTGCAAGGAAGTTGCCCAGGGGACGCCTCGGTGATTTGATGTTTTATTATCCTCCAAGCTCATTTATCCAGCTTCTCTCATGTCCCTGCATGAGAAGCTGGAGCTGATGGAGGGAGCTCATCTGCCTCTCCCCGGATTTGAACCTGTGACCTGTCAGTCTGCCAGCACAGGGGTTTAACCCACTGCACCACCTGCTTGAGGCAGGTGTGAATGTGGCAATTGGCCACCTTGATTAGCATTAAATGGCCTTGCAGATTCAAAGCCTGGCTGGTTGCTGCCCGGGGGAATCCTTTGTTGGGAAGTGTTAGCTAGCCCGGGTTGATTCTTGTCGGGAATTCCTGTTTTTTGAGTGTTGCTCTTTATTTACTGCCCTGGTTTTAGAGTTTAGGAACCCCCTGCATCTCCCTCTCCAGGTAGAGGATGCAAACCGCGCTACGCCCCCTCCCCAAGGTCACAGGGGTTGCGAAGGGAAGCCCATTCATCCCTCACCATCACGTTCACCACCTTCACATCACCATCATCACCACCATCCTCAACATTAAGCCCCCCTCTCTCTTCCTCGACCTGGGAAGGTATCTTCTTCCCTGCGCCCTGGAATCCCAACTATGCCAAGGTGCCCAAGTCCGCCACCCAGCCTTGCCCTGAGCCCCAAAGGTCACTCCGGAGGGATGTTTTGCCACCCTTAGAAAACCCCAGTGTCCCTCCCTGGTCTGTTTCTCTATGGGAAACCTATGGGAAACGGAGAGCGAGGTCTTTCTCCTCTCCTCCCCGGCTGCAGCCTTCCAGGGAGAGAAAGAGAGAGAGCCTCCATCAACCTCAATCCACAACACACACACCATTTGCACACCCTGAGCGAGCAGCACGCCTTCCTTCCCTACCTTATCCCATTCCAGGATCTGTGCACAGCCTCCTCCTTTCCTCAGCCTGTCCTCCTTTCTCCTTTCTCCCCTTCCCTGGCGCGTCGGACCGTCGGGAGGAAGGAAGGAAGGATGGCAAAGGAGGCTCGTCTGGCTGCGGAATTCCTTCAGTGTCGAGAGAGGCAGAGAAGCCTTGCAAACACGAGGCGGGCAGGTTGGCACCAAGACCACGAGTCCTTCTTGCTTGCTCTCCCTTCAGCGATTTGGTTTCTTTCTCCCTTGCTTGGAGGGTAGGAAGGAATTGGGGAAGGAAGGAGGCAAAGGAGGCAAGCAGGCAAGCAAGCGCCCTCCTCCGCCTCCTTTTCGGGTACCTCCCCCCCTTCTCTTCCTTTGCCTTCCCTTGCTATGGCACATGCATTGGCTCTGGTGGCTGGGCTCTTTCCCTAACCCTTTTTTTCCTCTCTTCTCCTCCTTTATTCCTTCTCTTCCCTTCTTCTTCTTCCTCTGGGTGATGGAGCCAGGCAGCCTCTCCAATGTGCGACCCCCGAAAATCCTCTCCTTCCCAGCTCTGCTTTCCTCTCTCTCTTTCTCTCCCTTCACCCCCACCTTTCTCTCTCCCTCTCTGTGAGGATAATTCGGGATTTTGTCGCCACCAGATCCCTGTCCACTGGCTTTATTTATGGTTAATAGAAGATGTTTTGGTTTTTTTGGGGTTTTTTTTGAGAAACTGCAAGTCGCTTCTGGTGTGAGATAATTGGCCATCTGCAAAGACGTAGCCCAGTGGACGCCTGGATGTTTTGATGTTTTACCATCCCTGTGGGAGGCTTCTCTCATGTCCCCCCATGGGGTGCTCGAGCTAACAGAGGGAGCTCATCCATGCTCTCCCCGGATTCGTATATTGAAAAGAGAGATATTGACAAGCTGGAATGTGTCCAGAGGAGGACGACTGAAATGATCAAGGGTCTGGAGAACAAGCCCTATGAGGAGCGGCTTAAAAAGCTGGGCATGTTTAGCCTGAAGAAGAGAAGACTGAGAGGAGATATGATGGCCTTGTATAAATATGCGAGAGGAGGGAGCAAGCTAATAGAATCATAAAATCAAAGAGTTGGAAGAGATCTCATGGGCCATCCAGTCTAACCCCCTGCCAAGAAGCAGGAATATTGCATTTAATTCACCCCTGACAGATGGCCATCCAGCTTCTGTTTAAAAGCTTCCAAAGAAGGAGCCTCCACCACACTCCGGGGCAGAGAGTTCCACTGCTGAATGGCTCTCACAGTCAGGAAGTTCTTCCTTATGTTCAAGCTTGTTTTCTGCTGCCCTGGAGACTAGGACACAAAGGAACAATGGCTTCAAACTACAAGAAAGGAGATTCCATCTGAACATTAGGAAGAACTTCCTGACTGTGAGAGCTGTTCAGCAGTGGAACTCTCTGCCCAGAGTGTGGTGGAGGCTCCTTCTTTGGAGGCTTTTTAACAGAAGCTGCATGGCCATCTGTTGGGGGTGCTTTGAATGCAGTTTTCCTGCTTCATGGCAGGAGGTTGGACTGGGTGACCCACAAAGCCTCTTCCACCAGCTGCACCTGCAGTAAATCTTACCAACTGAAAGGTTGACAATTCAAAACTGTGTCAGGGTGAGCTCCTGACTTTCAGCCCAGTTCCCCGCCTTCCTAGTGGACCTAAAACAGCAATGTGAGTAGATGAATAGGAATCGCATTTAGTGAGGAGATTTTTAGGCACAGCCTTTACAAACAAAGAAAGCTCTTTGGCAAAGAGATGGAGCAGCAGCACCCCCCTGTGGCCAGAACCGAGCACAGTCTCCAAAGATGCCAAATGATGAGAAAATCCTTATAGTATATATATATACCTCTATCTGTTTTCTGTCTTGTCATTGTATAATCGGCATTGAATGTTTGGCGTATATGTGTTCTGTGATCCACCCTGAGTCCCTCTTGGGGTGAGAAGGGCAGAATATAAGTATTGTAAACAAACAAACAAACAAAAAAATGCACTCTCAGCCTCAGAGGGAGGAAAGACCAAGACATTTCTGAAAAATCTTGCCAAGAAAACCCTATGCCTTAAGGTCTCAAAGCTTAGAAATGACTTGAAGGAACACAACAATAACAACACAAGTAGAACACCACCTGTTTTAAAAATCTATCATCTCAAGTTCAATCCTGGGCATCTCCAGTTAATAGTTTCTCTCCACTTGTAACATCTATCTCTGACAGGTGATCCCAGAGAGCTTCTGCCAGCTGGAATAAACAACACTGAGTTTTAAATGACTAGTGCAAGCAGATATCTTTGTTTCTAAGACTATGGTGAGCACGACATTTATGTGCTGTGTTTAATAATGTTTAATGTTTTTATCAGGGGAGGGTCAATTTTGATGTTTTATACTGTATTTTTTATTGATGGCATTGAATTGTTGCCAACACTGTGAACTACCCTGAGTCCCCTTTGGGGTTGAGAAGGGTGGTATATAAATACCGCAAATAGATAAATAATACATTGGGAAAGTTGCTTTTTGTACTGAAATACTCATTATCCATTTGACTGGCATGGCCGGTGGAGCTCTTTGCAATAAAGAACAGCATCCCTTGGCATGCCAGTTTGTTGAGCATGCCAGACATGACCTCCGTCATCTTCACATCAGCTCCATAAGGGGAACTGATATCATTATTCCTCCCTTGTAGGTGGGTGCTAAGAGACAAAAGCTTCACCTGCCTGTCTACTGAGATGCTGCTGCAGTGAGATTTGAACTGAGGATGTGGCAGCTTGAAGTGTCAGCTGCCACACGACACGGCACCCACTAAATCATCTTTTTTGAACAAAAGGATCTGTATTTACATGCACAGTGCCCAGAAAAGAGATGAAGTCTTGAGAACAAACAGAGCTTTCTGTCATCTCATGGCTCTCCAAGAGGCTTTGGTGATTGAAGCAAAGGGCGAAATAGTATCCATCATCCCAACAAAAAAGCTATCGAGACTTCTGGTTGAACAGGAGCCATTCAAAGGCATCCTCCACCACATCTGAGATTTTTTTTTCAGTGATAGGAGGACCCTGTGACTATATTACCAAGCAAATGATGTAAGCCTACTGTGTTGCTGCTTCTTTGCTTGAGCTGTAAAGAAATTTCGCAAATCCAAAAAGTGGAAATAAAAATAAACCTATATAAATAAAAATGTAATGTTCGTTTGTGGGATTAACATAACTCAAAAACCACTGGGCGAATTGACACCAAATTTGGACACTTCACCCCTAAGAGACCAACGAGTGACCATCACTCATGAAAACACTGAAAAACACAGCGGAAGAGACTTTAAAAGCAAAAAAAGACATTACAACATATGCACAAAACCACACATATACACATATACACAAATATATATACAGACATATACACAAATATACACACACACAACACATATACACAGACTGGGCCACGGCAACACGTGGCAGGGGATGGCTAGCAGAAAGATAAATTTTCTTTTCCAGTGAGGGGAGAGGACAAGCCCACCCTCTGATGTTACTGGCATGCTGGCAAAGGTAGGCTGCAGCACTATGGCACGATCAAGGGGGTCAGCTTTTTTCATGGAGAGATAATGGACTGGCAATGGTCTGCTCATGGTGCTGTGTGTCCTGCTTCTATGTTGGTTTGCCACTTCAATGCAATAAGGACCATAATCACTGCAAACATTGCCAATTCCATAGCAGCCTGGCTATGTTGCTAGAATTTCTGATAATGCTGTTGTCACAGGAATGCTAACATAAAACAAATTTATTCTCTCTTTATACCACTTGTAGGGTCTTTGTTTTAAACAGTGGTTCTCAACCTGTGGGTCCCCAGATTTTTGGCCTTCAACTTCCAGAAATGCTAACAGCTAGTAAACTGGCTGGGATTTCTGGTAGTTGTAGGCCAAAACACCTGGGGACCCACAGGTTGAAAACCACTATTCTAAAACATCCCAGCTAAACATAGTTTCTGAATCTAAATACAATCAAATGTGATAATTAGAAGCAACTGGAGCCCCCAGTAGTGCAATGGGTGGACCCTTGTACTTGCAATATTGCTGACTGACAGGTTGGAGGTTCTAATCCAGGGAGAAGGGTGCGCTCCCGTCTCAGCTCTAGTTTCCCATGCAGAGATATGGGAGAAGCCTCTCTGAGGGTGGTAAAGCATCAAACATCCAGGCATCCCCTGGGCAACGTCCTTGCAGATAGCCAATTCTCTCACACCAGAAGTGACTTGCAGTTTCTCAAGTCACCTCTGACACACACAAAAAATCTAGTCCAACCCCTTCCTGCCATAGAGGAAAACCATAATCAAATTACCCCTAACAGATGCAGCCTATGTTTAAAAGCCAAAGAAGGAGCCTCCACCACACTCCGAAACAGTGAGGTCCACTGTAGAACAGCTCTGAATGTGTCCAGAGGAGGGCGACTAAAATGATCAAGGGTCTGGAGAACAAGCCCTATGAAGAGCGGCTAAAGGAGCTGGGCATGTTTAGCCTGAAGAAGAGAAGGTTGAGAGGAGATATGATAGCCATGTATAAATATGTGAGAGGAAACCACAAGGAGGAGGGAGCAAGCTTGTTTACTGCTTCCATGGAGATTAGGACAAGGAACAACGGCTTCAAACTACAAGTGAGGAGATTCCATCTGAACATGAGGAAGAACTTCCTGACTGTGAGAGCCGTTCAGCAGTGGAACTCTCTGCCCCAACGTGTGGTGGAGGCTCCTTCTTTGGAAGCTTTTAAACAGAGGCTGGATGGCCATCTGTCAGGAGTGATTTGAATGCAATATTCCTGCTTCTTGGCAGGGGGTTAGACTGGATGTCCCATGAGATCTCTTCCAATTCTTTGATTCTATGATTCTATGATTCAGTCAGGAAGCTCTTCCTAAGCTTCAAGTGGAATCTCCTTTCCTGTCATTTGAACTCCAGGGCAGCAGAAAACAAACCTGCTCCTTCTTTCTTGTGACATCCTTTCAAATATTTAAACATGGTGATCATATCTCCTCTCAAACTTCTCTTTTGCAGGCTAAACATCCCCAGCTCTGTAAGCCATTCCTCATAGGGCATGGTCTCCAGACCTTTGAACATTTTAGTTGCCCTCCTCTGGACACCTTCCAGCTTGTCAATATCCCTCTTGAATTGTGGTGCCCATAATGGGACAATGTTCCAGGTAAGGCCCGATCAAAGCCGAATAGAGAGACACCATTACTTCCCTTGATCTAGGCAGGCACTATACTCCTTTTGATGCAGCCCAAAACCCCATTGGCTTTTTTAGATGCTGCTGGAAATAGGCTGTAGTGAGTGGATTCTCAATGCAATTGATTAATTTGTCTTTAGAGACACCTCTCCACCCTCAAAAATAAAATAAAAGTAAATAATAGGAAGGAATGGCTGAAAAAAGCAAAAGGAACAGTCAAGGGTTTGTGTTTCTGACTGCTCGTATGTGCCACCTGAGGCAGTTGCCTCCCTCTGCCTAAACATCCAAATCAACCCTGCTTCAATTTTAATTTTAGAGATGACATGCATCAGGTAGAAAGCTTCTTGATCCTCATTCTGCTTGTGGGAGGGGGAGGAG